TATCCTTGCAGGGCCTCACTGGTCACATCAACAGGAATGCTGCTTAACGATTGCATCACACAGAAAGACAAACATGTAACCACTAGTTTGGACCCCTGGTTACAAGCTTCTCTTGCCCCTGCCCACACCCTCTCCGCCCCAGGAACACACTTTGTGTAAATGTGGCAGTGTGGAACTGGTCATGAATTTGGGGGATTCAGGCTTTGAAGCATTTCCGGTAGCTACTAGCAGTTTACAGAAATCTATTCTGTCTAAAAAGAATCACATAGTCTTGCAAGGGGCTGGCAGTATTTGTAGGCACTGCAAGTGAGAATTGGAAGGTAATTTCAGGCCCAGGAGAAGAGGGAGCTCTGTGACACTTTTGTCCTCCCTCAGGCACCTTTTGGATGCAAGAGATCTTGGGCTTGATCCGGCATGATGGGGACCCTTCATGGATTCAGAGTTTGAGCCTAGCGCAGCGGCCCCCATGGATTGAGCATGAGTATTGCTTGAAGCGTGCCTTGGAACTTCCTCCACCCAGGCTGCTATCCAGTCACCTGCCGTTTCAGCTCTTCCCTAAGTCCTTCCTCCACTCCAAAGCTAAGGTAGGAAGCCTGCCTTCACCTTCTGGTAGTGTGTAAAATGTAGGAATGGAATTCTGCACTTACAGGTCTAATGCTAAAGCATGGTCCTCTGATTGTACAAAGAACACACTAAGGTTGAATTCGCCTTCCATGCTCAATGTGGATCTTACCTTGGGCCCTCTTGGCTACACAAAGTCCTGTTTGCTATACTGTGGAATCTGCAATACTTTCTTTTTTAGGGGCCAGATGGTCCTCCAAGCAGAAAGCTCCCAAAACATTTCCAGGAAATTCAGAGTAGGTGGCATAGACTGGGGGAATCTGGGAGCTGAAAAGGCCTTCAAGGGCTCTTTTTCCCAAGCCCATGCCAGTGGAAGACCTCCAGCACTGCAGGCTCCCTGTTCAGGGATCACGTGCCTTATGACTGGAATCCAAAGGCTAAAGGAATGGAACTCCTTGTGAAGTGCTGGGTTTGCCTGCTGAAGAAGAAGCCATTCCCATTTTCCTCAGATTTCCATTTCTGCACTGTGAGATTCTCTTCACTGGCCCTTCCCTGTGTTCAGTTGTGTTCAACTGCTGCATGTGTATATTTTTCCTTTATATTTGCCTGGATGGACACGCTCACGCAGACGAATAGCATGCATCTTTTCCCCTGTGGTGTTTTTATGTAATAGGAAAAATCTGCTCATGCTTAACAAGGTCCCTCTCTGGTCCTCAGGTTATCTACACCCTGCGCAACCCCAGAGATGTGCTGGTTTCATTCTACCACTTCGCCAAGTTCTGCAAATTCTGCAAGCACCCTGGAACATGGGCAGAGTTCCTGGAAGACTTCCTGAGTGGAAATGGTATTTGTGTTGTTGTTGTTAGTCACAAAGTTGTGTCTGACCCATTGCAACCCCATGGACAACATTCCTCCAGGCCTTCCTGTCCTCTACCATCCCCCAGAGTCCACTTAAGCTCACACCAACTGCTTCCGTGACTCCATCCAGCCACCTCATCTTCTGCCGCCCCCTTCTTCTTTTCCCGTCAATTGTTCCCAGCATTAGGCTCTTCTCCAGGGAGTCCTTCCTTCTCATTAGGTGGCCAAAGTATTTGAGCTTCATCTTCCATATCTGGCCTTCCAAAGAGCAGTCAGGGTTCATCTCCTTTAGGACTTACCGGTTAGATCTCCTTGTGGTCCAAGGGACTCGGAGGAGTCTCCTCCAGCACCACAATCCGAAGGCCTCAATCCTTTGATGCTCAGCCTTCCTTATGGTCCAGCTTTCACAGCCATACATTGCAACTGGGAAAACCATAGCCTTGACAATACGCACTTTTGTTGGCAGGGTGTTGTCTCTGCTTTTTAGTATGCTGTCTAGATTTGCCATAGCTTTCTTCCCCAGGGGCAAGTGTCTTTTAATTTCTTGGCTGCAGTCCCCATCTGCAGTGATCTTGGAGCCCAGGAAAATAAAATCTGTCACTAGGAAATGTATGGAGGGGGGAAAATCAGTGGATGTTTTCTCTTGGGGTCAGAGGGGGCCACCTCCACAGCCACTGCACCACCTCGCTCCACTCCGATCTTCTAGCCAGAAAGAGGAGACTGTAATGGAGGTTTCTAGATGGCATGTGGCAGGGGTACTTTTCATTGCTATCTCCCAACTTGCTTGAGGGAATCCATGGACTGGTGAAGTTGTCCTGAAACTGGCCATGTGTCTGCGTGTCCAACTAAGTATCGTCCACCTATTACAGTCCTGCTGCACCAAAGGTGACAAGATGGTCTTCAAGTGCCTGTCCCTCACCATGAAGCATTTCCATGTGAGGCTGGTGGGGCAACAGGCTGGTCAACCAGAGGTGGAATGAGGGACTCCCTGGAGCGGGAGCAGTCTTTCGAGTACCCCGCAAGCAGCAGCCCCTCTTAGGGAAAGGGGGCATTGGCTCCAGGAATGCGACACACATGAGGGCAAAGCAGCATGTTTCGATCTTGGTGCCTCTGCTTGAGCGTGTGCACAGTGGGTGAAATCCATGCTGCTAAAGAACAGGATGGCAACAGCCAGAACAAACTGCAACATCATCCTGTGCACTGCAGGAGAAGCAGTGCCTGGAAAGCAGGAGCATGTTGTTAAAGGGTAGCTTCTCTCCACTCCACGTAGCAGCTATACAGAGAACAGTGCGGATGCGGAGTTCCTGAGAGCCACTGCACAGAAAGGCATCTTGCAGCTAAGCCGCTCTGTGGCAAAACTGGCGTGGGAGCTTCCCTTCTCTGTCAGAGGAGGGTGTGAATAACTGAGACAGGTGGGGAGCTCGTGAGGGGGATTCCTCCTCGACACCGCTGTGGTTCGACTTGAATGTCCCCAAGGTGGGCAGAGACTTCAACCCTCCTCTTCCAGTCCCACCTACATCCACGCCATTGGTTACTTTCGTGCCTTGGCTTTGCACTTGCAGTGGTGTTCGGTTCCTGGTTCGACCATGTGAAAAGCTGGACTGGGGTGAAGGACCGACCCAACGTCTTCTTTGTCACTTACAAAGAGCTCAAGCAGGTATGGCTGTAACTTCCAATATCTTCAGACACAAATAGATACCTCAGTGTGCATCAAAAGCATCAAGCCTTGTTATTTACAAACATTTTTAAAAGTAAAGACACATCAATGAAGGAGAGCCGCTCATATATGCAGGCCTTTCCCAAGATGCGCACTTGACTAGGTGTACTCCCTGTGTGATTCCTCGTGCAAGGAAGGGGTGTGTGTTGACTGGGCATTGTGCTGGCTGAGATGCATTCTGGGACAACATGGCAGGCAGTGCTTTGACTGAGAAGCTGAGGCAAGAATCCCGCTCTTGTGCTCCTGGCTGCTCTGCCCTGGGATTGCCAGGAAGCCAACACAAGAATGGGCCAAGTGTGCCCACCACATGGCATCCATCTTCTCTGTGTGTAATGGATTATGTCGCAGATTCTCCACACACTGAGAGTGCATCTACTCATCTTTGCAATTTGCCGTTTCCTCCCCAGGACATGCGGGGCACCGTGCAGAAGATCTGCCACTTCCTCGGTAAGGAGCTGACCTGCCAGCAGCTTGATTCCGTGGTGGAAAATGCCTCGTTCCAGAGGATGAAGGAGAGCAAAATGTTGCAGCCCTCCCAGTTGCCAGAGCATAGTTTTGACCTAATGAAAGGAAGTATATTTCGGAAAGGTAAAAAGTAGAGCTTCCTTGGGAGGCAGAAAAGATCTCGGATTGAGGTTGCCCAAATTTCCCCCCTTGAGACGAGAGAATGGAAGGGGAGAGGCAGGAGGGCTGAAGGTGGGGGACTGTGCTCTGGCAGACGGGGCTTTGCCAGCTCCATCTTAGGGCCCCACTGGCTGCTTCAAGCATCTCTGAAAGGACACTGATTTCCACCATGCCTGCAGGATGCTGAGATGCTGGGGTGAGGTGGGGGCAAACTCAGCCCTCCTTGGCTGCTCCCTGCATGCTGCTCCCTCAGACAGCCTGTACAGTCAACCCCAGCTGGGCAAGGCAGTTGCCCAGACGGTTTCTGCTTGGGGGGCTGCCTCTCTGCCTTCTCCCTCTCCCTCCTTCCCCTGCCCTGCTGACCAGGGCCAACTGGGTGAGGTTTACTCAAGGGGGACACATTCTGGACCTACTCCAGGCTGAGTCCCTTATGGTGTTCCAGGGATCTGCGGGGACTGGAAGAACCACCTGACGGTGGCACAGAGTGAACATTTTGACCGTGTCTATCGAGAGAAGATGCGGGACGTGGGTGTCACCTTCCCATGGGAATAAAGAAGGCCAGACCGTTGCTTAAGCTATTCTGTGGTCTTCCTCACTGAATCTCCCATATCTCTCTTGTATCTAGCACGTGATCAAGCTGTATAGTCCAGGAATTTATATTTCAGGCAAGAAATACATATCCAATGTACAATTGGAAGCAACTGAAACCTTCCAAGGTACAAAAATATTTAGCAGTTTCACATGTGTATGATTTTCATTAAAATGACATCCAATTAGAACAGGTGACATAATGTACCATTATGCATCATCCAGATGCATGGGAAAAGGGGCCAGTTTTGACCTGAGGCTGAAAAGATCATGATGTGGGCACCAGGTGGGCCTAAGCAGGAATACCATTTCGCAATTTGGGGCCAGCACTGCAAAGGCCTCTTGCTTGTTCCCTCCATCTGGACCTGCCTTGGAAGTGTCAGTCACAGTATGGCCCTAGATGCGGATTGCAATGTCCCAGAGGTTCACTGAAGCACTTCATGCAGTACTGCTCCAGCTGCTTGGACTGTGATTCGAAGTGCATGTTCTCCAAAACGCAGGTGGGCCAGAACTGGTGTTCTATGTTCACACTCTATGGTTTCAGTCATTTAACAAGGTTGCCACATTCAGCCCAAGCTGCAGCTTTGAAGCATGGGTGCACATGGAGTTGGATCCAGAGCATTTTCAGGAGTGGACCACTGAAACAATCCAATCAGGACCTATCTTGGGAATGTGAGACCTGCAAATCCCTGGGAGAGTGTGGGTCTGTGGGTCTGGGAGAGTGTGGGTCTGTGGGTCTGGGAGAGTGATGTGAGAGGGCAGCAGATCCCTTTGTCACAGATGAGGTTTAAAGCCTCTCCTTGACAAGGTAAGGAGGTAAAGGGAGAAAGGAGCTACCCAGGTAACTGGACACCATCATTCCCACCATCTTGCCCTCAATCAGCAAGAATTACCCAGGAGGGGAAGTCAGATGCTTTACTGAAAGGCAGGGGTGGAGGGAAGTTTCCCAGTGGAACTGAATTCTTGAAATGACAGGTGCTTCTCCCTCAATTTGGGAGAAGTGTAGTTTGTCCTACCCTGTAATCTGCAAAATTTCCAGAAAAGAATTGCACGTCAAAGGAGTGTCTTGTGTTTGACCACCAGAAGAAAAGTATGCCAATTTTCCAGGTCAATAAGGTCTCAGAGACTAAGGAAGCGATCCAAAGTCTCTGAGACAATGCCTGGGTGGACACAGGATTCTTCCTGGGCTTGAGAGAGCATTCCATCCTGAGAGAAGGAAATCAGTCCTCCACCATCATTCTACCTCTGCACAACAGCATATCTGCTGAAGCTTCAAATGTATTTACTTCATACCTGCCTGTCATGGAGATGTTATTTACCTTGATTGCGTGGTGCAGGGTAAACCTAAACCCTCCAATCGGGAAAGGAATGGCAGATGTTACCATGTATGTCATGGCTCGTCCAATGTATAACGCTTCTGCCATTCCCCTTAAAAATCCTAACCTACAATTCACTCTGAAAACGTATCAGAATACCCACTTAAGGTCTGAAAGAGGTGCAGTTCCTGCTTATGCCAAAGGGATCCCCTTCCTTCACTGCATAGTGGAGGAGCGACTGGGACATCAGAGGGGACAGAGAATATTTACCAGTGGCCATAGTTCACCCCACCCCTCTTCTCTCTCTCCTTACATAAAATCTACCTCTCCACCCACCATTCCTTTTTCTTTTTCTTTTGGTGGCCAGGAAGGAGTAGAATTTGCCTCCTGCAAGTTAAAGTGATCACCTAAAGCCACTGGGAAATTCTTCCCTGATCTGTGAAATGGAATGGTTCAAACTCATGAGAAGGGGCAGCCCTTGAGAGCCAAAGGTGCCCTGCTCACTGTATTGCCTCTCAATGGAATCTGGTCAAGGCGGAGAGGCATGACCTCCACATGGTTCTTCTAATTATGAAGACTAATGTAGCATTTGCCTTTTTGCAGCCCTTTTGCCTTTCATGTCACATTGTGAGCTCATATTCCGCTTGCGATCTGCATCAATTCAAGGTGCCGTCGCACTTGCATTATTGTTGAGTGAAGTCTTCCCCATCTTGGAATAATACACTCGGTTTCTTTTTCCTCACTGCGGAACATGGCCATGGTTTCTCCTAAATTCCTTTCCGTTGTTTGCAGCCCTGTGCTCCAGCCTTTTAGGATCACCTCGAATCTTCTCTCTGTCTTCCAGAGTGTTAGCTATTGTACCACATTTTGTGTCTTCTGCACATTTGGCAATCGTTCTCAGAACTCCCTTCTCTAAAACATTAATAAGAATGTTGTAGAGTACTTGGCCCGAGACTGCACCCTGCAGGACCACCCTTCTTAACCCTCCCCAATTAGAAAAGCTGCCATTGATGAGCTCTCTTTCTGTCCAACTCTGTATCTGAGGATAGATCCACCTGAGAGCTGTTCCATCAAGCCCACTTTTACCTAATTCGTTAATCATGGGGCACTTTCTCAAAAGCTTGGTGAATCAAGATAGATTATGTCCACAGTCTTCCAACAGTTCATTAGGAAGGTCGCACTTTCAAACAAAGGGAATTGGATTATCCTGGCAGGTTTTATTCTTGAGGAATCCATCTTGGTGTCTAGTCAGCATGGTATTGCTTTCAAGGTATTAGCATGCTGAGTGCTTTATAATCTGCTCAAGAGTTTTCCCCAGGCTGATGTCAGACTGACCAGTCGGTAGTTCCCAGACTAAAACATAGAAACATAGAAACAGAGTGAGTCAGAAGGGGCCTCCCGTGCCATCTAGTCTGACCTCGGGCACCAGCCGGCTCCGCTCACGACATGCCCACCATGTGGACGTCCTTGAACACCCGAACTGATGGGGCCTCAACGACCTCTCGTGGGGGCCCATGCCACACCCTCGGGGTCCTGACTGTCAGGAAGTGCTTCCTGGCATCCAAATGAAACCTTGGCTCCCTGAGCTTTGCTCTATTGGGGTGCCTCCTGCCTTCCTCTGCAGGGGAGAACAGGTCTCTACCCATCTCCATGTGACCTCCCCTCACATACCTGTGTGTCGCCAACAGATCCCCTCTGAGTCTCCTCTTCCCCAGGCTGAAGAGACCCAGTTCCCTCAGTCTTGCCTCATACGTTATCCCTTGCAAACCAGCCACCAACCTTGTGGCCCCACGCTGCACTGACTCCAACCTGGCTATATCCTTTCTGTAATGAGGGGCCCAAAACTGAACACAATACTCCAATTGCGGGTGCACCAGAGTCATGTAGAGTGGTAGTAATACCTCTCTTGATCTAGAAGCCACACTTCTGGCTATGTGACCAAGGGTGGTGTTTGCCCTCTTGACCACCGCATCACACTGCTGACTCATGTGTAGCCTGCAGTCAACCAGTACCCCGAGGTCCCTTTCACAAGTGCTGCTCTCCAGCCACTTGTCACCTAACCTGTACTTATGACAGCTATTCCTATGCCCCAAGACCTTGCACTTATGCACATTGAACGCCATCCTGTTGTCTCCTGCCCACTTCCATAGTCTGTCCAGATCCTTTTGGATCTGGAGTACCTGCTCCTCAGTTGTGGCCACTGCTCCAAGTTTAGTGTCGTCTGTGAATTTGATCAACAGACTGTTCACCCCTTCTTCCATGTCATTAATGAAAAGATTAAACAGAATTGGCCCCAGGACAGAGCCCTGGGGGACCCTGCTTGTCACTCGCCGCCATCTCGACGATTCCCCACTAATGGTTACCCTCTGCTTTCAGTCAGTCAACCATGCCCTAATCCACCGGACAGTGCTTTGGTGTATCCCAAAACTCCTCAGTTTCTCCACCAGGATATCATGGGGCACTTTGTCAAAGGCCTTGCTGAAATCCAGGTATACCACATCCACTGCGTCCCCTCCATCTAGCCATCTAGAAACCTTGTCATAGAATTCCACGTGGTTTGTCTGGCAGGACCTGTTTTTGCGGAATCTGTGTTGTGTGGCTGTCAGCCTCCCTTCCCTATCTAGCATCTCTAGATCTCTCTGTATGATGAGCCTTTCCATTGTTTTTCCTGCAATGGACGTAAGGCTAACCGGTCTATAATTCCCCATGTCCTTTCTACTACCCTTTTTGAAAATTGGGACCACTGATGCCACCCTCCAGTCCTCATGAACTTCAGCTGTTCTCCACGAGGTCTCAAAAAAGGAGGCCAGCGGGCGTGAGAGAACCCCTGCCAACTCTCTAAGCACTCTCAGGTGTAACCCGTCAGGGCCTGGCACCTGTGTAATGTCCAAAGCCTTGAGGAGCCCCTCGACTTCAAGGGGGTGACTCTAATCTGTGCCCCTAAGTCCCCAGCCTCATCTAATCTCCTGTGCGGATATCCCCCATCCTGCTTTGGGGAGAACACAGAAGCAACATTGTCATTTAGCATCTGTGCCTGTTCCCTCATATCAGTCACTGGATCTCCTTCCCCCTTATTTAGTGGTCCCACCACTTGTCTCCCCTTCCTCTTCCTATTTACATGCTGAAAGAAGCCCTTTTTGTTGCTCTTGATATTCTTGGCAAGTCTCAGCTCGTAATCAGCCTATTGGACAAGACCAAGTCAAGGCTGTTTCCCCCCCCTCGTCACCTCTCTGACACTCTGCGTGAAAAATCCTCCATCTATAGCTTCTAGGAAGCAACATGACCTGGCTGTCATGGCCGAGTGAATCTCCCAAGTAATATCCGGGAGGCTGAAATCTCCCATAATTACTGTTTCTCTCCCCCGAGATATCCTTAGAATCTGGTCTGTCAGGACATCATCCAGGGTCTCAAGTTGACCTGGAGGGCGATAACATGCCCCCACTGTCAGGTTTCTTTCCCTGTCAAAACCCCGAAGTTTCACCCAGACTGCCTCCACTGAATCCCCATCTGTGCTGCATTCTGTCTCACTGCATCCTATCCCTTCCCTGACGTATAAAGCCACGCTCCCACCTCTCTTTCCCTTCCTGTCCTTTCTAAAAAGGTGATACCCTTCCATGTTCACATTCCAGACTTGCCTTTCATCCCACCAAGTTTCTGTGATTCCCACCAGGCCATACCCTCCTA